TAAAGCAACCGGAACTGGTCAAAGAGCGCAAGTCCCTTCGTCTTTTCTGGCAGCTGCTCAGAACAGGCCATGCTTTAGTTATTATCATAACACTGCTTACGGTGTTTGCGAAGTGGCAATTGCAGGTGCTCTGAGTTGCAGTGCAGTAAGTGCCAGAAGCGTTGGAACAGTAAATCAAAGCTTTGGTCTTGTATATCCATCAAACCATTAAAAGAGGAGGAAAATATGAAAGCAGCTGAGACTGCTGTAGTCATTTTAGGTTCTATAACTCATGTTAATAAAAAGCTGCTTTTAGTTGTTGTTTACATAGCTGCACAGCTGACATGCAGGGATCAAGATGGGATTTTCTGTGTGTTTGGCAGAACTAGCTTCTTGGAGGAACAGTGAATTTTTTTCATGACAAAGAATTGTTCACATTCGACAGTTCTTCAAAGTGTCGTCAGGTCTGAGGTTGAACTGTCACTGTGTCAGTGAACGTGATGTACGTCGCTGGGAGCGTGTTCTCATTAGGAACGCTAAATTTCAAGCGGGACGGAGAAAAAGCAGGGGGTTGGGGGCAGGCAAACAGCTTTATCTGTGCCAGCAGTGATCGCCAACATCGTAATGTACCAGATGAATGAAGAAAATCTCTTAAAAGCAGAGGGGGTTGCAGGGTAGGAGAGGAAAAATAAACCTCTGATTTTGGCTGGCTTGTTAATGGCCAAAATACTAGCCGGTGACACTTTGTGTATTAAGCCTTGTCCCTAGAAACAGCTTATAGATGTCCGACTGCTGCATGGCAGACGACTTAATAGACAAAATGTCACGAGTTGCATTCTTGGCAATATCAAGATAGAGTGGGGAGAAGATAAAACAGATACAGAAGTGTCCTCTGACTGAAGGCTATGTCTGAGGACTGTGCTGAGGACGCTTACGCTGCTGCACTTGCGGTTTCAGTGTACCAAATAAAATGAGATTTAGCTTGTTGGGTTGTCAAGGTACAGTTTTCAAGATAAGACATGACTTTTTTTTTTTTAGATTATATTTTGAATGGCTGGTAATTCAATGTACTTGATGTCTAGACAGGATTCAGATTTATACTGACAGACTCGCAGGCTGTCCTGGGCTTTCCTTGCCTGATGACTGTATCCTAGGTAGCATCAAGTACAACAAGTGCCCTTCGGGATCACTTTAAGGATGCTCCCAAAGGCTATACCTGGGGCATGTTTAAAAGCACAACAAAGCAGGTATATTTTTCCCCCTACTCTGAAATCTGGAAACTTCTTTTTCCTCCCGCTCCCAGGAAATCTAGTTTTAACTGTTGACACTTCCAGTTACAGGGGAGATGGCTGCGGCAGTCAGGCCCATTGCCGGTGCTTTGTGCAGCATTTTTTAATTAAATTTTTGAGGAATGAGGCTTAAGTAGTCTGTGTAGTTACCGATTTAAAGGTGCTCTTCATTTCTCTCCCTGTTTGAAGCTGCTGCGCAAATGAGCGTGCGCTCGTTGTAGTCGCAGCAGCAGCGGGTGCCTGTACAGCCCAGCGCCTGCCACGAGACCGGGGAAAGGCCGGTCTGCTGCTCGGCCAAAGACAGCTTCCACCAGCCAAAAAGGAGCTGACGTGCGGGGTGGGGGGAGGAAGGCAGGGTAAGTAATGCCACGCTGTCGGGGTGTCTCCAAAGACCACCTCTGAAGGTGCCCCTGCGGTCACTCGGCGTCGGAGGAGCCTGGAACGGCCCTGGGGAGTTCACCCACAAAGAACCGACGGAACCAATGTTTTGCTGCACGCATGGCTCGGAGAACGTGCTGGAGTGGCAATGCGGTCTCCGCAGCCTTACGTATAAACCCCATTTCTTAAAAAATAAAGAGATGAAGTCTGATGTTGCGAGAATCTGTCTGAAGTGGCGTTAGTGGCATCCCTACCAACAAGCAGGTTAGATTTTAACAATGGAGATGTATTTTTAAGATTGCCGTTGAACGCCCATTTTATTGTGAAGGCCGTGGAAAAGAACCACTTTTTGAAAATGGGGTAACTCTAATGAGTTACAGTCACCATTTTGTATTTAGTGTGTGTTTTGATCAACACAGAATTTTTTTACGCGTATATAAAAGCCTTTAAAAGAAATCCTCACTGTTTAGAAGGTTTACAACCCCATCGTTGTAGAAACTAATGGTATCGAACTCAGATGTTTTTGTCGTGCCAAGTGCGAGGCATTTGGCGACTGTGCCAAGGCAAATGTTGAAAAAAGCCAGCTGAAAGGAGGTAGTAAAAGCAAATTCCAAGATTTGCATTGTTTAAATCTAATTTTCTGTGCATGTTGAAACGTGGTGATTGTTTAGCAGGACCACTTCTCCACAACTGGAGAGAGTAAAGGAAAGAGAGCAATGCTTATAAATGACCACTAATAAAATTTTTCCTTGTACTGTCTTAATAGAGCAAGTGTTTAGAAAACCGAACATTTAGCTTTATTCCGAAGCTTAACACAAGTTCAGTGCTTGAGAAACTCATTTGATTACAGAGGATTTTTACAACTCCTTCCAATGAGCCAGCGCTTTGAAAACCGGCAGCTGTTTGAGGGCAATGGTTTCTACGAAAGCCTAGTTTGTGCGTGCTTTTTGTTTGTCTGGGTGGTGACGTTGCTGGGTTGGGCGTTCTCTCGCGGTGCTGTTGTTAGCCTTTTAAGGATTGAATGTGGGCAGTGTGTATCCAATGGGGTTCGCTTCACAAGTAGGGGGATTATTAAGCACGAAGATTTTCCTTTATTAACGCTCTGGGTTTGACGTTTCAGGACACAAAGGCGCTCGTGTGTAATCGAGCATGATGACTTTTCGCAGTTGTCACATGTGTCTGTCTAAGCAAAACTCAAGTGTCCTCTCCTCCAGAGTTACCTGCTGTAGTACTCGATTTTATCTTCCAAACATGCAAAACGACATTTCTAATTATATTTGAACATGCTTTTTCTTTTTAAAGGGTTTGCCTGTTGCTTTAGAAAAGCACATTCTTGGTTTTGACACAGGAGGTAAGCAGTTCTCTTAATGTTACTTTTAAATAGTGATGTTTGCCTTTGAACAAAGTATATTACTGTCAAATATGTAGATAATACGTACAGTAAAAAAGCCTGTAGTGGAAAAAATTGCTCCCTCCCAGCTTGTTATTTACGAGCACTCCTGAGCATTTTGTTTTGGAACAGAAAAGCATAAATCTTAGCTGTGGAATATGTTGTTGCAGAGTAATGTTTAAATAACAGCTTTTAATGGCAGCCACGTTTGCAAGCGGAAGGAATGCATCTCCGTCCTGTTGTCTTGTAAATCTTGCTCCTACCAGCAGAGGACCTCTCTGCTTCTTCCCTGTCTTCCAGCTGCATAATTTACCTAAAATCTAATCGGAGGCAGTGCAAGTTGGCATGACCCGATAGATTATTTTGTAAACAGCCAGATGACCTGGGACTCCACTAGTCTGGCTTGGCTTTTGCCCCACGTACACCTAAATTACGACTCGGAATGCTTCGTACCGACCCGACGTGGCTGTGGATTACCGCGAGGGCTGCAGGGAGCTGCGCGAGGTTTTGCAGAGCACCCTGTCCCTCTCTAGCAGCAGGGGAAGCTCGTTCCCTATTTCAAGTACAAAAAACCACAAGCATGAATGAAGTGCGGAGCGTTGCCTTAGATAAAGCTTTTCTTAAGACCTTCCTGTCAGATGAAAATGCTTGATACGACTTCTCTTTCTGCATCTCGCCCAGATGCTGTTCTCAATGAAGCTGCCCAAATTCTCCGACTGCTGCATATAGAGGAGCTCCGAGAGCTGCAGACAAAAATTAACGAAGCGATCGTAGCAGTTCAGGCGATTATCGCTGATCCCAAGACGGACCACAGACTGGGGAAAGTCGGGAGATGAACAGATAAAAGCTTTTAGGCTCTTGTGTACTTAGTACAATTAGGAACTATGCACAAGGCTGTACACCTCTGGCATGCAGTTTGAAATCATATTATTTTACTGTTTTGGAAGAAAACAGGAAATTGAATTCTGACTTCTAATGAATTATCGTTTTTCTTTAAATAAATGAAGCTGGGGAAAATGGACAAATTGTTCTGATTAGCTCTGAGTTGGCAAATACGACTTTTTCATTGTGTTTGGCTTTGTGCTGAGGAGGGAGTGTTACGTAAAGGTTATTTTGCTATTATCCTATTTTGCCGAGGTCCTGCCCTGTGAGCAGCTCGCTCCTGGCTGGCTTGCTGCTTCTCCGCCAGCTACCCTACAACTGAAATACTTAAAAACTAAATCCAAAGGGAAACTTAAAACCGTTTTATTCAGTTATTGAAATAACCTAGAAAAAGTGAAGTGTTACAATGTAAATGGTATTTCTGAACATCTATTGGTCTACACGGGGTAGGTCTATGAAGGCACTTCGAAGAACCAATAAGCATGAACAGATCAATTCTAGCATATTCTTCTAATATAAATACTAAAAGACATGCATTGAGGCAGTGGTGAAAATATAGAATTGTCTTCTGGAAAAACTGGAATGCCTTTGCCGTATCACGTAACTGCTCTGCACGCTGTTGGAGCACACACAGTCTCTGTCGTCCGGGCTGTAGATTACTGAGACCCAGCAAGGTACTGCACAAAGCTTCCCCTATGCGCTTATTTTTTGGTACAAGGGACCCGTTGGTCAGATCGCCAAAGCTATTAAAAATGAATCCATTCTCCTTCCGATAAAATAAAACATTTGAATAAGAAAGCTACATTTTAAATTTGCTTGCATAAGCAAGAGTTAGAGTAATGGCCTAAGAGTCACAGGACCATTTTTTGGTAATATATCAATGTTTTTCACTTTTAAAAAATACAGTAGTAAAGACTTGAGGTATAACTTCAAAAAATACTTGCTAATCTTTTGTAGAAAAGTAGGTTGCTTTGTTGGCCTCGGTTAAGGGTTCCCCCCCCCCTTAGTTGTATGCAGTGACGGTTTTCTGGGTCGGAAGCTCTTTTGGGTGCAAAGATTGTTGTTTCTCGAAATGGCAGTTACTATTTCCGCGCTGCGGAGAGAAAGGGGTATCTTTAGCCTGTCAAGCACGTAGCAGCCCGCCGACAGCCCAGAGGGGGTGGGTTTTGTTGGGTTTTACCTCCGGGGCAGTAGGGATAAACCGCAGTTATTCCGTAGAGATGTGATCGCTGCTCTGGGAGATACTCATCGGTAAAGGAGCCGCTTTCTTTATCGATCGCTATCACGCCATCCCTGGTGATAAAAGGGGGAGAAGCGCTTTACTCATCTGTGAAACCCGTAGGGTTTTTTCCCCCCATCTTGAAGAACGCTTAAGAACAGAGGCAGCTAAAAGGATTGCTCTGAGCACCTGCAGAACAAGTGGAAAGAAATTTGCCCCGTCAAATCTACATCCAGCTCATTCAGTGCATTTCTCTGGTGATGCAGAGTCAGAGCGCGCGCCTTCCAAGGGAGATTATCTCCCCGAGAGTCTCCTCCAAGCACGCCAAGTGCTTTAGTGTTTGTTGCTAAGATTTCTAAGATAATCTAAGATTGCTAAAACAATCTGCTAAGATTTGATGGAAGTTTTGAGAGCTTCCAGCAGGAGTGGGAAGAGAGGCGAGTTCCTGATGCCGAGGGCCTTGGGCGGCAGGGGAGAGGGAGCGACTGAGGACTGAATCTTTCCTTTGACTTAATCTAGATTCAGAAACTTGTGCCAAGTTTTTATTTAAAAAAAAAAAACAACCAACCAACCAACCGCTATTTCTATCCCTCCCAGGAAGCTGGGGTTGTTTCTAAACAACCGTTCTGCACCGAGATTTACGAGTGGGTGTTGCTGAACACGGCAGTGCAGGAGACCCGAGAGAGCGCTGGTGAGATTCCAGGGCTCGGGAGCAGGGAGCAGGCTGGGGACAGCGTTTCTTTCCCCGCTCTGGCTCAAAGCCCCTCCAGGCTGCTCGCTAGCACGGCTCTGGCAGGGAGCGGCAGAGCCTGGCTCCCGGCTGCGCAGGGGAGCGGAGCCCTCGGAAGGGCCAGCTCGGCGCTCCCGCCCGCGGGAAGGAGCGGGTTTTCTTTCCTTACCGTCTCCAGTCCGTGTGGTAGAAGTGGTTGGCGTAACTAATGATGCTGAAGGGGTAGTTGAGGTTGTTCTGTATGACGCGCCGGCCCGTGCCGTCGGGGAAGGTGCACTCCAGGTGCTTCGTTCCTTTTCAAACACAAAGACAGTTACCAGGCCACACAAAAAAAACCAAAAAAACCCAAACGTGTTCTTTGTATTCACTGGTTTTTGAAACGCCTTCTCAGCCCGAGGATGTAGAAGCAACTCGTGCTGCGGGTCCCCCAGCCCCACCACACCAAGTCCTTTGGGGCAGGACCCTGGAAGGGGGTGGAGAGGATCGCAGGTAGCAATGGGCTAAAGATACATAGCTGGTTTTATCGAGCCTTAGTGTGCTGTAGTCTGATCTGTCCTCGGTGAAATGACATCCTCGGTAAAAGCCAGGGAGATGTGGTGCTGAGGGCCATGGTTTAGTGGTGGGCTTGGCAGCGCTGGGTTAACGGTTGGACCCGATGACCTTCAAGGTCTTTTCCAACCTTAACGATTCTGTGATTCTGTTCTGTGCTTCTAAATTACCTGCGTCTGCCCAACAGAGCAGCTTGGAGAAGGGGTCAAACGTCAGGCCGTTGGGCAACCCGATGTCCTTGTTCACCAGGACCCTCCTGTTGGCTCCGTTGACGGTGGACGTTTCGATTTTGGGAGCTTCACGATTCCAGTCCGTCCAGTAAAGGTTGCTTGGGAAATAATTATATCATGAACAAACAGGGCGCACAACAGTAAGGAGTGGTAGGAGATTATCGGCTTTCTCTTCATTAACTGGTTCTTGTCAGGAGAGAGGCCTGGTTTTCCCCTTAACAGGGCCTGAAATAAATCTTTATTTGATTTGAAAAAAATCCCTAAAAGAAAAGCAGAACGATGTCAAACATGTTTACGACCCAAACCGTAGCTCCTAGATGAGGGCGAGTCCTAGGAGTAGCACATTTTGTATCGCAACAGCACCCTAGAGGCACAGCTTGTGTTTTCAAACGGCAGGCGTGTATCAAAGCTTTTAAAAATAATGTACATCCTGACAGTGAAACAGCAGGTTTAGCCAAATCCTGAATTATTAAATAAAAGAGGAGGGGGGGAACAGAGCCAATCCCTCCTACGGGGTGTGCGCTGTAGGAAAGCTGCTCCCAGGGCTGGGCTGGGGCCTTGGCACCACCGCCTGTGCCTGACCCTCCTCGGAGAGGCTCATACCTCGTCCCACCGCGAACACCCGGCTGCAGGCAAACAGCCCCTCTCAGTTTTTTTCCCCAAAATACGGCTCCTACTGCAAATCTGGCGAGTGCCGTCCTGCCAGCACCCTGCAAAAGCCCTGCATGCAAATCCCTCCAGAAACGCTGCTTGCTCACCCTCGGACGGGATCCACTGCGATGGCCCGGGGGTTGACAAGCTCCGTGTCGAAGAGCACCTGTCGCTCCGAGCCATCCAGCCGGGCTCTCTCGATCTTATCCAGGCCGCTGTCGGTCCAGAACATGGCTCGGCGCAAGTGGTCCACCGCCAGCCCCTCGGGGCTGAGCAGCCCTGCCGGAGGGATGGACACGGTCAGCGGCTGGGGACACGCGGCTCCCAGACACGTCGCGGTGTCCCAACCCACAGCCGAGGGATGTGAGCGCAGCTGGAGGGCCCCAAGGCAGGACAGCCCCAGAGCCGCGATGGGCACAAACTGGCGTGGACCTGCTGATGTGCCTTTGGGCAGATGTCACCGGTGATAGGAGCTCACCTGAGTTGATAACGGTCTCCGGCTCGGCGCCTGGCTCCAAACTTGCCCGGCTTATGGTCCGGCCGGCCACATCGGTCCAATAGATCGTCTTCTCCCGGCAGTCATAGTCGATCCCCACCACGATGGAGCCCTGCCAGGGTTGGAAGAGGGAGACAGGGTGAAATTCTGCCTGGGCCACAGCTCAGTGAGCACCCTTGTCCCACCAGCCGGCACTGGGAGCTGCCTGAGGCACTCTGCAAGATGCTGCGATGGGCAACGACGCTCAAATTCCTTTTCCCCAGCAAAACCCAAGACCGACGGGCTCCTACTGCGCACCCCCGGCTGAATCCTGCAGCAGAGGTTTTTAGGCCGGCTGTCGCACGCGCACACCCACGTCCAGATGGGTCTGAAACCCTTCGGCTCAAGGAGAGCCGGCTCCAACAGAGAAGCCAGCCCGAGGAATGACCTTCAGGATGGGGAAAGGGAATACTTGGCAAGGTGTTTCAGTTCCCCGGGGTGCAGGGAGGGTCGTGGCCCGGCTTTCAGTGTTCCTCGGTCTGGCCTGGCTGGAGATGCACGTGGCCACGCTCCAAGAGGAGTCCGAGGAAGGGAAAAGGCGAGTTTTGCAGTAGAGACGTGCAGCTGGCAGCCCGGGACCGATAGCGGGGGAGCTGTGCGAGCACCCGTGCTCCTTCCCTTTGCAGGGGGACAGCTGGAGGGAGGGGTGAGAGCCCTCCCCCTCCATCTCAGCACCAAGGCTGTCCCCACAGACCAACATCAACCTTCAAGAGGTGAACCCCTCAAACCATCACAGCTCAGACAAGAGCGGTCCAGGGAGACGCAAAACACAGAGCCACAGCGTCAGCTTGTCCCTAACTCCTCCCTCGGTGGTCCCGCACCCCGACCCCGGCGCTGGAGATACTGTACATGCAGGGAGAGCAGGGTCTTTGCCGCCTCCTTCTGCAGCCGTGTCCCGTTGAGCGGGAGGTAACCGATTTGCTGTCCCTGAGCGTAGAGCAGAAAGGTCCCCGTGGCCGGTGGGGAGACGTCGGGCCGGGGCGAGGGCCGGACGCTGGGCGGTGCGATGCTGGGGAGACCTGGCACAAATGGGGAGGGGGCGACAGAGAGAGAGAGAGATGGCTCGGGGAGCATCGTCCCCTTGGCTCCGCACCCGAGCAGGAGCGGGGTGCAGCTCCGGGAGCCCGTGCTGTGCTAGATGGGGGGGGGGAATCACACTTGGGGTGCCGAGCTCTTACATGGCGGGGTGCTGCCGGGCTCCGAGCGCGTGCCATGGATCTCCCTGCCGCTCTCGTCCACGCACCAGCAGTACCCACTGTCCCCGTGGCACTGCAGCGGGGTGAAGTCGCCCCCCGCGTCGCACTGCGGCACGTACTGGTCGCTGCGGGGGCTGCCCCCGTAGTGCTCCAGCAAGCTCTGCCGCCAGCGCTCGCACATGGTGCGGGGCCGCTCTGTGGGCTCTGGCACGGGGAGGGCGATGGTCACCCCCCGTGATGGACCCCATGTGCAAGCTTGGGGGGGACTCAGGGCTTTGCCAGAGCCCCGGGTCCCCCTCTCCTTGCTGGGTGCCCCTCCATGCTAAGTGCAGGGTGCTGCAGAGAGGGGAAGGCATCCCCCAGGCACTGACCTGGGCTCCCGCAGCGAGGCGGCGTGCTGCCTGGCGCCGTCCGCGTGCCGGCGATCTCCTGTCCCGCGGCGTCCACGCACCAGCAGTGCCCGGTGCTGCCGTGGCACTGCAGGGGCCGGTACCGACCCTCCTCGTCGCACTGGGGCACGTGCCTGTCGCCCACGGGCGAGGGTCCCGGCAGCACCGCCCGTGGGTACAGCCGCTCGTGTTCGCAGGGGGTCAGCTGCTGGACGGACTCTGCCGGCAGCAAAGGCCCCCGTCCTGGGCTCAGGGGGTGCCACACAGCTCCCCTGGACCCACTCGGCACCCGGGTTTGGCCCCGCTTCACCCAAGGACTGCAGGTGCTGGGTGATGCTCTGCTGGCACCTTTTGGCCTCCTCCAGCCCCCTCGGCACCCCGTGGCTGTCCCCTCCATCGCAAGATGGCACAGAAGGTGCCCCAATGGCCACTGCCACTGTAACCCCATGGGCCAGGGTGCCCTGAAGACCCCGGAGCCCCCTGAGGTGCCCAATCACCCATTTGGCAGTACCCTGCACCCAGCCCATGGCAGAAAAGTCCCCAGTTGGGTGGTCGGGTCCCCTCCGCTCGCCACAGCCCCGCCATCCCCGCTCTGCTGGTGGCTGGGGCCAAAGTGCTGCAGCTGTGTGGGACGGGCAGGGACAGGCAGGGCTCTGCCTGATCTCCCCTGGCCCCCTCGAGTGCTGTAGGGTGGCACCGACCTGGGCTCCCGCAGCGAGGCGGCGTGCTGCCCGGCGCCGTCCGCGTGCCGGCGATCTCCTGTCCCGCGGCATCCACGCACCAGCAGTGCCCGGTGCTGCCGTGGCACTGCAGGGGCCGGTACTGACCCTCCTCGTCGCACTGGGGCACATGCCCATCACCCACGGGCGAGGGTCCTGGTGGCACCTCCCGTGGGTACAGCTGCTCGTGCTGGCAGGGGGTCAGCCGCTGCGTGCTCCCTTCCGCTGCCGGGAGAGCCAAAACAACAGCACGGTGAGGATGGGGGAAGCCACCCCGGGCAGAGCCGGCGCGGGGGCGAGCCGGGCAGCCTTACCGTGCGCGCACTGGAAGCCATCGCCCTCGTAGCCAGGCTGGCACCAGCAGGAGAAGGAGCCCGGCGTGTTGTAGCAGGTGGCAGCCGGGTGACAGGGATTTTCGGCGCACTCGTCCACGTCTGTGCATGGGGAGGATGGGGATCAGCCGAGCAGGGCACCCCGGCATGGTGCCACCCCGGCAGGCACCCTGTGGTCCCTCCCGTGCCCCCGTACCGGAGCAGTCGATGCCATCGCCAGCGTACCCGGGGAGGCACTCGCAGGCGGGGCGGCCCCCGGCGCGGGGCAGGCAGCGCGCCCGGTCCCTCGGCGCACAGGGGTGGCTCCCGTCCTCGCAGGGGTTGGTCACCGGTGCCAGTGCTGTGGGGACAGCGGGGTAAGGGGGTGGCCGGGGCAAGCCCCGTGGGGCACAGAGGTCAGGGGGACCCCTTACCGCGGGGCCGGCACTTACGCACACACGCCTGCCCGTCCTCCGCCGGCCGGTACCCGCTGCGGCACTCGCACCGGTAGCTGCCCGGCACGTTCAGGCAGACGGTGAAGGGGCCGCACTGGCTCAGGCCCTCTGCGCACTCGTCCACTTCTAGAGGAAGGGGTAGACACCGGGTGTCGCGGCGGTGGTGGGACAACCCCAATTTTCGCGGTCCGACTGCTCCTGGCCTGGGGGGGATGTCCTGCCCCAAGCTGCCCGTCCTGTCTGCCGCTTCCTCTGTCCCCGTGATGCTCCTGGAGCGCTTCTCCCAGACCCTGGCAGCCCCCCAGCACCCTGCCTCAGTTTCCCCCCGTGATTCACCCAAATCCTTGCTGCAGTTCCAGGAGCTCTTGAGACCGTGGGTGCTATGACGCTGTGGCACCTCCCAGCACCCCAAATGGCAGTGGCCACCATGGTGCCCCATGGGGGACGGGGTGCACCGGCTCCTCCCCGCACCCACCGGCAAGCCCCCACTCACCTCGGCAGCCCCGTCCGTCTCCGCGGTACCCGGCCGCGCACTCGCACGTGTACTCCATCCCCACGCCGGGCTGGCAGCGTGCCGTGGCCTCACATGCGTGCGTGTTGTCGTGGCATGGGTTCACCGGGGGCTTCTCAGCATCGTCTGCGGGCAAGCGGGGAGCGTTAGCGGGGGAAAAGGCCTGGGAGACACAGGGAGCGGGGAATGATCATTCCCACTTATATCTGACGTAGGTATCACCTCTGCGCCGCAGCACCCCTGTCCCATGCAGGGACCTGTGGCCATGCCACCCAGTGCCACCCCCGCTGCACCCCACCCATGTTGGGAGTGCTTTGGCTCAAGCTGCTTGGGGAAAAAAAAAAAAACATCTTTTGGCTGTTTTTGGGCAAAGCAAGCATGCTGCAGCTTTGGGAGCCGGCAGAAGACCGCAGCATCCCCCGGTGGGAGCTGGCACCCTGGGGCGGGCACCCCGCGGTGGGTGCTGGAGCTCACCTCGTGCCGAGCCGACGCGGGTGGCAAGGGCGTAGCGCAGGACGTGCTCCTGGCCGTCGTAGAGGGCGAAGGCGCGCACCACACTCAGCCGCTGCCAGGCGGGCAGGCGGGCGTGCGGGCAGCCGGCGAAGGTGATGTTCTGGCGCAGGTGGTAGGACAGGGTCTGGTTGGCGGTCCCCGCGGCCAGGACATACTCCCGGTGAGCAGAGGATGTCACGGCTGCCGGACAGCGAGAAAAACCCCACGGGAGGTGGGAGAACCGGCTTCAGCATCGATGTCTCTCGGATGTTGGGAACCGCAGTGGGGACGGGGTGTTTTGGGCTGCTCCGAGCGGGGCACGCAGGGATGGCGTGTGAGAAACCAAACTCAGGGCTGAGCACGGGTTCCTACCTGAGCTGGAGTAGTGGTAGAGCTCCTTGTAGGGAGCGATGTGGACGGTGACGTTCTCCGGGAGAAACGGCACCTGGCCCTGGATGTGCGTCTTAAGGCTTAAGTAATTGTCCGGCCCCAGGCCCTCGGCTGTCTGGGTGATGTGGACCGTCTCCTCCCCAGGGTAGAAGGTCACCTCCAGGCTCTGGGTGAATTCGGCACCTGGGCGGGAAAAGCGAACAGGCGGCATTGGGTTGCAGGATTTTTAGGGAATACATCCCCAAAGCATCCTTCCCCGCCCCTCTGGCACACCCGTGAGGGCTCGCGGCAGGCAGGTGACAGCCAGCTGAAGCTGGGGCATCCCGGCTCCCCGCTCCCTCACCGGTGATGCTGAAGCCGTTCTCGGAGCCGGGCTCCTCCAGGGCGAAGAGCCAAGCGAAGAGCCCGCCGATGGGCAGGAGGGGCAGGAGGGCGCGGGCAGCAGGCTGGGGCACCCCGCTGATGGCTGTGTAGGCTCGGCCGTCGCTGCCCACGATGTAGGCGTGCAAGTCGACGTCCTGGAAGCGGACGGACGCCCGTCCCACCATCAGGCTCCCGCTCACCTTCCCATTGAGGCGATGCACGGCTCCTGGGCAGGGAGATGGGCACTCCTGGCAGCGGCCGCCCAGGCACGGGGTGCCCGTCCCCGCCGCCCGCCCCACGTACCTTCGGGCAGGCACTGCCGCCCGTTGCCATAGTAGGTGGCCCGGCAGTGGCAGCAGGGGCCGGTGGCGTAGTCGGTGCAGAAGGCGTTGGGGGAGCAGCTCCCGTGGTGCTGGGCGCACGTCTCCTTGCTGGCCGCGCTGTAGGTGAACACTGGGGCCAAGGGGAGAGGGTTGGGGACGCGGTGACAAATCCACCCCTCCTGGGGATGGGCACCCTGCCCGCCGGTCCCAAAAACACTGTTGGGAGATGGGACAGCTGGCAGCGGCGCTTCCCAAGAAAGCCGCCTGGGATGTGTACGGGAGGCTCAGGGTTTCAAACCTGTTGCCTGATTTCAGGCAGACCTGACAGAGAGTGGGAGATCGAGTTCCTGCGGATTTTTGGGAGACAGCCGGCCGGGGCCGGGGCTTTGCTCCCTGGGACACATGCCACGGTGGCTCCCCAGCCAGCTTGGCGGCGACGGGGGCGGCAGGGCCAGCCCTGGCCCCAAACTGGGACCTGTTCCCCGAGCTCCCCGTCCCCTGAGCTTGCAATGCAGGGCAGAGCAGCAGCAAACCCAGCGGGCAGGGACTTATGGCTCCAGCAGCCCCTTGGCAGTAGGATTTGGCTGGGAGGAGAGGAGCTGGAAGGGCAGCAGCTTTGCAGGAGCGATGCCAGCCCACGCTAGCTTCAGCCCTCACTGCTCGGGAAGAGATGAGCTTGCAGCAAAGAGGCCTTTTTGAGGGAGTCACCCACCACGAGACATCCCTGCTCACTCATCGGAGGGGCTGCAGCCACTCACCGTCAGGGTTAAAATGCACGTCTTCCTCCACGCCAACGCCGTGATGCCCGGAGCTGTAGGAAGAGGGGTTGGGGGAGTAGCTCTGCTGGGCACCACCACCCCCATCGGGGTGCAGCCGGCGGCTCCGCTCCTGCCCCGGGGACATGGGCAGCCCCCTGGGGCCGATGCCCAGCAGCGCCGGGGTGCGGGGTGCATGCTCGGGATGCAGTGACATGGCCTCCGAGCCGTGCTTCGCCGGCAGCTCAGTGGACGCGTGGTCGGCACGGCTGTAGAGTGCACGGGCGTAATCGGCGGTGCCGGGGGCATGGGGCTCGGGGCTCTGTGGCACGCCGGGGCTGGCTCCCCCACTGCCCCCTGGCTCCACGTGCTCCAGGGGCGCTGCGCTGCCCACGTGGAAGACCCACACACCGGGCACCCCCGCGTTGCTCTCCCTGCAGGACAGCAGCACACACACACACATGTCCATCGCAGCCGTGGTGGGAAACCCCCCCAAAGGTACCCACCCCTCCCGGGACCCCGAATGCAGCTCCCAAAAAGCTCCCGTGCACGTGGGGCCAAGCCCCCCAGACGCAGCCCATCACCCCCCAGCTCGCTCCCCTCCTTCTTCCAGCCTTTAAAAGGCTCCGAGGGCTGGGAGAAGGTGACCCTGCTCCCCCTGCCCGCCCCGCACGGCCCCCGGGCACCACGCACCGCTCCAGCTGCCTCAGAGCCTGCTCGCTGCTGGCCAGGCTGTGGAAGAGCCCGTCCCTCTTTGGGTCATCGCCGTCCCCCCGGCTGAAGCCCACCCTGGCCGGCAGCTCCAGCTGAACGTTGTAGGACTCCTTGGGCCGCGTCCCCAGGAACTGGAGGCCACCATCGGGGTAGAGGAAGATGGCGTAGGTGTCTTCATCATCGTAGGCTATGACCGCCTGGAAGGTGTTGAGCTGCCAAAGGGAGAGTAGGACAGACGGACGTCACAGGAGGGCAGGACTCCAGCGGAGGACGGAGACAGGGAAGGGACTGGGGACACACCAGCTGCCTCCACACACAACACAGTGCATGTAAGCACCCCAACAGAGCCCTCCATCAGCCTGCAGACACCTCCCAGGGAAGAACAGGAGCAGCGGCTGCTCATGCATGGCAAAACCCCAGCGCAACGTGCTGGGAAGGTGCTCCGCATCCTCCATGGGAGCCCGTGACACAGCCAGGCCACCCCCTCTCAGCTGCATCAGTGCAGGGGTGTCCCTCGGAGCTGTCACACGGGGAGGTGACAGCCCCGTACCACGCCCAGGAGCATCCCTGGCCATGTAACCCATGCGCCCCGTCGGCACGCTGCAGCCGGGAACCCCTCGCTCCCATCCCCCTCCTCCTGCCCTGCCCCACACCAGCAGCCCCCCTCCATCCCATCAGCACCGGAGGAAAACCTGCACCCCCCCGCTTCCCCCGAGAACAATTTTAGCTCGATTTCCTCAGGAAAAAACATGCATGTGCTCCCGCCTTCCCCACACCCATACGTCCCGCTATAGGCATGCTGGCTGCCTGTCGTGCTAGCCCTGCGAGCCCTGGGGCCACGCCAGCCCCGAGTGAGGCTGCGCCGGGGAGCGGGACCACAGCAATAACCCACAGATGGGCAGGCTGCGGAGCGAGCACAACCCTTACGAGCCACCAGAGAATCCACACACACACATCGCGGTCACCCCGAATGCGGCGAAACCAAGGCTTGCAGCATTTGGGCCAGCCCCCCACCCTGCAGAGGTCCTGCTTTCTGGATAAATAAATGTCAGCACGCAGCAGCAGCCCTTCCCCAGGAGCTGCCGGCAGCAGCAAGCGGGGAACGGCGCCCGAGCGAATGAAAAATGATTAAATTCCCAGTTTCGCCACCGGAACAGGAGGGGTGGAGGCTCCCCCCATGCAGCCCCCCCCAGCCCAGCCCTGCCTGTCCCCAATTTTGGGGCGCAGGGGCCCCGGGGCATCGCAGGGTTTCCCGGCAGCCCCGTGGGATATAAAGAAAGAGCCTTGTTGTGCGCGTCGCACACTCGGGCATTCAGAGACCCCGTGCAAAGGCGGCCAAAAAGCTTGGGGGGGGGATAAACCCCCCCAGGGCCAGATTCCTCCCCCACGCAGCCCAGTCGTGGCAGCAGCTGCAGGGCTCATTTTGCCTGGCGGAGGGGGGGACCCGGTGGGTGACACCACTGCGCTGGCACGGTGGGACGCAGGGCAGCCAGCGAGGAGGGGGGCAGCCCCCGGCTCGCGGCTGGCTGCTCCCGGCAAAGAGCTGCAAAGGGCAAATTCCAGCCCAAAGGGCAATTTTTGCCCCCGCAGAAGCGGGGTCACCTCTCATCGCCCTCCGCAGCCCTGGAAAGCGTCACTGCAGGGACTGGGAGTGTGCCCCCAAGGAGCTGGAGGGGCTCCCGGCGGGGCAGGACCCCCACGGCAGGGGACCGGGGAGCCTCTGACCCCCCCACCTTAACCCAGATTTCTGCTTTTGGGCTCAAAAAAGATGAACTTTCCAAAGCGAGGGGTAAAGGCTTCGAGGTAAATCCTGGTTCTGAGCAGCGGGAGGGCGGCGTTTCAATAAATGGCACATTTGGTAAGAAAAAAAAGTAGTGTTTGGGGAGTTTTTTAGCAGTTTTGGCTAAGGGGGAGTTCAGCAAAGCACAGGCACAAGCTGCATTTCAGTGCGTCTTGAATGAAGCTTTCCCTGGAGCTGCTCATTTCCAAGACCGGTTTCATTTTAAAACCTGATCCAACTTCTCCAAGAGGAAAAAAAAACAATTGGGAAGAGAAGAGGAGGCTGCGTTTTTGACGGCTGCGAGGTCGCTGCGAGGCCCCTGATGGCATCTCTTCAGCTGCTTTCCCAAGTTTTAAATTAGAGGAAAAAATGTGGGTTGTTTCCTTCCAAACCTCGGTTTCTTCCCTCGCTTGGCCACCACTCTCAGCAACCCGCTACCGAAGGGCCCTGGAGTGGGGGGACGGCCGGCGGGGATGGCTCCCGGTGGCCCGTGGGGACCCGGTGGCTGCTGATGGGCTTTGGGTTCAGCCCACCCCGCCGCGGCGAGAGCCCGTCACCCATCGCATGGCTCTGGGTATTCACCGCGAGAGTTTTCCCCTTGCAGCTTTTCATATTCAGCTCGTTTCAAGAAGCCCGTCCCGCCGGCAGAGCGTCACCGTCACCTCCTCGGCGCGTCATCAGCCTAACATGACGGCTCCTGCCCCAGCAGTGGGTCCAGCGTTTTCGGGGAGAAGCAGTGCTGTAGGTCCACCCATGCAGGAGCCTTATCAGCCCGTGGGTGGAGAGCACAGGTCACCTCCCCGACCCGGCGGACCACCTACAAGCTTGTTTTCCAGACACAAAATCAACCCACGGTGGAAACTCCGAAGCCGGTTCCTCGCCGGCAGCGTTAATCAGCGTGCGGGCAGAAGGAAGGACCAGCCCCAAGCCACCGGCAAAAGGTCAGGAGCACGATGGGTGACCTGGGCCACAGCTTCCCCCAGCTGCCCAACTCCACCCTGCAAATCCAGAGCCGCCAGCACTGTAAAGCTGTGCCTGAAAAGCAAGGAAAAGCCTGAGCACCTCCAACCATGGAGTTGAAGGCAACCTCTAAACCTCTTCTGCTCATTGGCAAAGGCAACAGACCCACCACTGCCGCAGCTCGGAGCGGGGAGAAGCTCCACATCTCCCCCGGTGCTGATCCAAGGCTGGACCCACCATCCAGCTGCCCAGAAAGCAGAGACTGAGCGTTTTGGGTGCTACACAAGGAAGACTCATCCTCTCACGACACGTAGGATGGGCATCCAACCTGCACCCATCATCGGCCTCACCTTCTGGGAGGGTTTGGTGTCTTGCAAGAGCTCCTGGTAGGCGCCCACGTCCTCCCAGGTGACGATGAATGCGTTGGTGGGCATGAAGGAGCCGGCGGTGCGGGGGAACCCAGCCTGGATGTAACCCGCGGCCTGGTCCAGCACGTCCCGAGAGTCGTCTTGCCGGTAGTAGATGTTCCCTCTGTCACCGGAGGTGTCGAGGTCGGCCAGGAAGGGAGCGATGACAGGGAAGTCTGTGGGGAAATCGTCATCCACGTACTGGGTCTCCCTGGGGAAATCCTGGGTGGAGATGACGCCGTTGGTCCCCACCTGCAGGGAGAGTGGCGTAGGGTGCTCAGGAGCTGCAGAGGTGCCTCCACCACCGGTCCCCCCTCCCCGGTGGAGCAGGGCACAGAGCTGAGAGCCCGGAGATCGCCGGGCCCCATCCGGCCAAGGAGAAAACAAAGACCTCGGGCTTCTCCGTCCCCCAGGGAGCTGCAGCTCAGGGGCCATCCCAGCTGCAGCCGCTGCCGGCGGGGAACAGCTGCAGCGGAGAAAGCCCTCTTGTTCCTCTGCAGCCAGAGACAGCGGGCAGGAGACAGTGGGAGCGGGGTGGAGGAGGAAAAGGGATGGGGGACAGGGACGGAGGGGGGAAAAGGGATGGATGGAAGGAA